TTAGCAGTTACTAGCCATTCATGCATGAGAAATAGCAGACCCATGACAGGGTGCCTGAGGGCAGAGGGACAGACAGACTTGCTGGTACAGGGAGCAATGGTGGCAAGAAGAGAGGTCTGATACAGGAGCCAGCTGAAACTGTCCATGACAGCAGCCATGCACGTCTTTGTTTACAACAAGACATAAGCACACGAGGGAGCCCCGTGAAAACTGCTGACCTACATGTACGAATTCTTTAGTGGGTCAAACACAGTGCCAGCAGTGACAATGACATTAAATTATTACTGCTGTTGTTTGTCTTGCAATTACTCACTCCTCCTTCTCCTTGTTAATAATACAAATCAGGTTAGGTGCCTGGAGTACTTTGCACTGTCAGAAAAGACCTGATCTAAAGATGTCCCAGCCTTGTCCACATGCCAAGGCACAAGTCTTCTCATGCTATGAACTCAGAGCTATTAATTTTCACAGTACTGCACAAACAGGACTTTTAGTTTCTTGTCATAGCTTAGAAATGGTAACTAACATACACCAAAATCCTGATAAAGAAAAGGCACAGGTTGTGAGCTCAAGTAACAATAAATGAGTGAGCAAAGCATAAAACTTTTCACCTGTGGACAGATATTTATCATGGATCAGATTTCTATCTGTTAAGAGAAGCTGTTTGTTGAAGTGAAGTTGATGCAAGGAAAAGTAATATACTTAAAGATAAGAGCAGGTTACTTCAATTCACTATTCATATGCAAACATAACCTTGGTATAAAATCTTAAAAAGCAGAAACCCAAATCTAAGAATTGCAGAGAAAGGGATATAGTTTGTAAGCAAAGCTGGGATGATCAGCAAAGAACATTTTTGTTTCTTTTATTAACTTCTCTGGTATTCTCATTTGCTGTTTTATTTTATTTTAAAGTGTACAGATTACAGTGATTTTATATGCCAGTGTTCCAATTAAAGTTAGGTTTCTCTTTATACAATACATTAAAGTGCAGTTGATTTGAATTCAATGACACTGTCCTACTTGAAATTTATTATATTGTCTCAAATGTGGTTTTGGAGACTGTTACTCTCTGAATGTGAATACCAAAAAAATAACCTGTTTTTATTTTTTCTTTGTGGTTTTACCCAGAACAGTCCATCTGGGTTGCTAGGCTAAAGATAAAATATTTTTTAAAAATTGCATTTCGAACAGCAAATACAAATTTCAGTCATATGATATGAAAACGATCCAGCCTATATAACTCCTACTGCTTACTTTCAAAAAATTCCCTTGTTCTGAAGTCAGTTCAGTGGTTATTAGAAGTAGTCACTGATGTAAATTCCATCTTGTTTATGAAAACCTTTTGAACAAAGCATTGATTGTCCAGGGATCATAAAAAAGTTAAAATCTATAAAATGTTGGCATTGCTACTATTTGGGGCATGAGAATGACATGCATATAAATCATAGTTTGTTGGCACAGACTTTTATACTCAGAAAGAAGGCTTTGCTGAAAAGGTACTGTAATTCCTCTCTTTTATAGATTTGTTTCTAAAGTATTCTGAATCAGGAGAAAAATCAGAAGCAAATTCTGGTCTGCGGTAGGAATCAAGGGCACAACAGGTCTTTTATGGCATGGGTTAACAACTGTAGATGGGCAGTTTAGGCAGAGTTTGGGGAAATCAGGGTGTCTGGAAAGGCCTTGGTGTGAAGCTTTGGGAGGGAAAGTTATCCATGTAGCTGATGTCCCTCCATGCAGTCTCAACCACATCTCTGTTATCCTGGGGTCAGTAATCTGTTGCTCCATTTTGTAGGAGAGGGCCCTACTATCATCATTTAGGAGAGGTAATGGTTTATTAAAGGCTTTCAGAGGAGTACTCTGTCCCATTCTACCCATCATGAGGTGGGTGAAAGAGTGTTTTTATGCTGACAGATTTTCCTCTTAACAGGAGGGGATTTTTCCAGGGACATTTTTGCAAACCTTGATCTGTAGCCCCTCCAACAAGGACAAGGAGAGCAATCTCCTGCCAATACTTGGCTAAGCACATGAAGGCCCCTTTGTGCCTCATACACCACTGCTTTTCTTGATCCATGGCTGGTGAAACTCCTCTCCTGGTGCAGTCCCAGATGAGACGTCATCCTGGCAAGGTCTATCTCTCTATATCCACACTGAACAAGAACTGGCAGTGTTATTTGTTGGTTTAAAATGGCATCATGGTGGAAAATAAATGTTCAGGTCTCACTGCACAAAGTGATCTAATTCTCTTGGATTTTATGGCAGGAAGATTTTAAAGGTGTTGGTCACCTAATCGTTCTAAGAATGACTTAGTTTTAGAAGCTTCAACTCAGCTAGAACTTGTAGGATAGCTGCAGAATCCCAGTCTCAAAGGGCATGCCCCACTGGTGGTGTAAAATCAACAGCACAGACTGTACAGGACCATTCACGTCCTGAGATCAGAGCACCCCATTCTGGCATTGCTCCAGTTCCAGACAACAGAACTGTCACTGAAGTTACACCAGAGTAAAACTAGAGAAACAGCAGTGAACCAGCCTAAGAAGCCTCACAGCTAAGTCTTTCCTGTTTCTTTTCCAGTAGCAAAATTATTGGCAGCCACCAGGGATCAATGCTGTTGTTAGCATTGAAGTGCTGCACCGAAGAGCAAACACTCCAGCGATCCAAGCAATTTTCTGTTAAGTCATTCTACTGGACTGCAGGGCTTGTGGGTGGGATTATCCCAAGTGAAAAATATGGCAATGCCGCAAGACTAAGTCCTTACTATTTCTTGGAATTTTAGTAAGAGCCATAAAATTCGTTGTTGGCACCTGAATCTTTAGAAGCACTAAACAAATTAAACAATCAAGCCTCAATCCTGCAGCTCTTCTCCTCATATGATGCTTATTAAAATTCATGTGGTGAAGTGCTCCTTGAATGGATTCCAAAATTTTCAAGCAGAAATGCCTAAAATCAGGTTCATAAATCCATATCTAAATCTTTTAACGAGGTTATGCTCATTTTCCAATTTTCTTGAGCTTCTGAAGATTGCAAATTCTAGACCTTTTGGAAAAAAAAGAAAGCCAAATTTTAAGAAGGTTTTTAAACTGGATTAGAGTCTGCATTAAGACCATTTTCTAACATTTTCTGGAACTGTCCATCGTACATGTCAGGACTAGTCCTGTGAAGGCTAAAGGAGGCATGATCTAGCAGCCCTGTTGTGTTCTGGGTTGATTCTAGTTCTCTGGAGCTAAGATACCACAGGAGAGCTGATTAAAATGCTGTACATATGACTAATGAGGATAACTTCTGTCAAGTCTGAGACTTGACCCACAGACAGTTATGGGATATTCCCACTGGAAGCACAGTATTTCTACTCCCCTTAACAAAGCGGTCCATCACTGATCACAGGCCATGACTATTCCATAACTCTGCCTGTAATAAATAAGTTCATCCTCAAAAAAAGTCAAGGAAAAAGTAAATGTAGGAGATCAGAAAACTGTGAAGAATGGCTAGTAAAATCACAGCCAAAATTTTTCAAGAGCTTGACCATGTGTGTAAGTCAGAGCCATGGCATACATGCATAAGTCGTACCAACTTGTCTGCACACACAGCATGTAATAACCACATCCAGAAATGTTGTGTTACAGCCCAAGGATTCTCCATTTAAAGGAGACAATTAATGAGTTGCACTGTTCTTCTTGTAATTGTCTTCTGTAGTGTTTGATCATATTTTTAAGCCAGAGGATCTGTTCAGGAGAGCCAAAACTATGTATAAATCAAACAGAATCACAGGATATGTTGAGTTGGAAGAGACCCACAAGGATCATCGAGTCCAACTCTGAGGCCTGCACAGGACCATCCCCAAGAGTCACACCATGTGAGTGCCTGAGAGTTGCAGAACTGGGTGTGAGGGAGCTAGACAGCCTGCTGGCCTGGCAAAAACAACGTTGAGACAGGAAAGACATAGTTATCAGGACAAGGACTTGTGCATGTGTTAGAATAGTTGGTGTATGGAATGTGTAGCTCAGCCACACTGTCCTCTACTGGCTCTCTGAAAACCATGTTTTCATTCATGCTGTTTTCATTCTTTGGTGCCCAATTTAAAGCATTTCAACAGAATCATACTTTCAGAGAGCCCATCTCCTTCATCTCATCTCTCTCTGCCCTCAGTACTTCTAAAAACCAAGAAAGCAGAGTCTTTATGACTATGAAAGCTTCATGATGTTTACTCTCCAGCTTTTAAGACCTTTGTCAGAAGCAAGGAAGAGTTTCAATATGCTCTGGTGTAGTCTTCTCTTTCTCCCTCCTCCTCTATTTATGTTGTCTCTTCTTGGTGTTTATCACTCTTTCTTACACACATTTTCACAGAAGTGACGGAAACTCTTCCAATCACTTCAGCAAAGTGGAGCTGACTGCAAACACCGCATGTGGCACAGGGTGGTCTGTGACCTCCTCCCACAGAGACCACCCCACAGCCACCCTGCTGCCAAAACCCTTCAAATTCTGCCCAATACACAGCTCAAGCCCCCCTTGGTAATAATAACACAAAAATACGGCAAACTTACAATTGTACACGTTCTCCAATCTGGGGATTTTTTCCTTCACAAAAGCCTTCCTTCCCATGTTTCATTCCTTACCCGGATATGAATATTCCTGGTATCTTTGGAAAGATTGACCTGACAAGATCCAAGATAAGGAAAGTGGTGAGGCACCGGCACAGGTTGCCCAGAGAAGCTGTGGATGCCCCATCCCTGGAAGTGTTCAAGGTCAGATTGGATGGGGCTTTGAACAACCTGGTGTAGTGGAAGGTGTCCCTGCTCACGGTAGGGAGTTGGAACCAGGTGATCTTGACGATTCCTTCCAACCCAAATCCTTCTGTGATGCTGGGAATCTAAATGAAAGCAGACCTTTCTACCGCTGGCCCATGCATGTCCCCTGGCATGCTGCTCCAGAGGTTTTCAGCTTGCAAGCTGACTGCTCTGTGCCCTGTGGGGATCCTGCAGACACCAACAACCTGTGTGCTGCTTTCAGGTTCTGGACGACAGCTGAGACCAGCTGAGCCCCCCGGAGATGCTGAGGCCGATGCGGATGCAGAGGATGAAGATTCTGTGAGTCTTTTAAAGTTTTTCTGTGATGAGAGTTTGGCAAAATGAGATCTTAAATATTTTGTTTATAGCTGGATCTTGCTGGTGATTTTCCTCCCCATTAAAAATCCCTGCTTGGGATTGTCCTGCCAGCTCAAAAGTGAGAAAGTTGCTTCAGTAAAAAGGCTTCTGCTCTTTGCCGTGATTCATCAGCATAAGTTCACTACCAAGACTTAGGAAACTATTACATGGCTGTTAACTACAGTAATTTTTCTTTAAAGATTTAGATGGTTTAGGTTCCCTGTTGTCTGACTCCAGAAGGAAGCATGCCAAGCGCTTGTCAGCAGAAATTCCTGCTGGGACTTTTCCATGGTTTGCTTGGTTATGCAGGGCAATAAAGCTTGAAGCCACAGGATGCAAGTAAAGCAGGGGAGGGATTTTTTTTGCCTTTTTCAATTATTACTTATTGATCTGTCAGTATTTTCAGTCTGTTCCATCTATAGATGCAAACAATACATAAAGAAAACCAGAATCAGTGTACTGCTGTTTTTGTCTCTCAGGTCTCTGTCCCTTGTGTTTTTGAGTGCTTTAATATGAGAATTTTATTTGGTTTTGACCTAAGAAAAGAGTTATTGGTTATTTTTCATCCAACATACTAATGAGAGATTTATACTCAGAATGAGACTATGAGTAACTAGAGAAACTCTCCTAAGAAAATGAGTCACTGTTAATTGATTGATGTTTCTTTACCACCACTCATTTCTGTTCCACAGGTTAATGAAGTGGCAGTAGAAGACATTCGTCCAAGGCCACAGGGATCCTCTCCAGTTTATGAGTATCCCACAGAAGAAGAATATTTAAAGGCAAGACACTGAGTTTTTCATGCAGGCATGGCTTTACCAAGTTGATTCAAGAGGCTTTAACTCCTACAACTTGCGGAGACTCTTATGTGGTATAATGGGATGTTGTTGCAGCCATATTGTCTTCCTGTCCGCACCAAAATCTGGTCCATGTTCATTGATGGTTTTATTTTGTACTGGATTTGCTGGCCATGTTCTTGTTTCTTGGCAAAAAAAAAAATTTGACTTCATTCCTTAAAGGACACAGGACAGAACGTGTAAAGAAATCACAGTGTTTTTCCTGTTAGAATATATAAGTGACTTGAATCTAGCAAATAAGTGTTTCAAAATTACCTGTACCTCTTGGTTATTCAGTGTTAGGGATTTAATTAGTACAGCCATGTTAAGATAAGTAGGCAGCAGTTTGAAATTCATACTGAAGTTGAATAAGTAAAAAAAAAATGCACATTTACAAAAATAAAAGCATGGGCAATGTGCTACATTAAGACACAGAAAAGCTCCCCATGTCTTAAGACATTTGGTCTCTGGCATTCAAATGAATTAAATAATGCGAATTTTGGTACAATGAAGGGAGGCCTTGGCATCTAATTTACTACTGGGAATAGCATATTTAAATCATTCATGTTGTACATTGCACTTACAGATCTCAATTTTGCTCTGTTGCCATTAAAGTCAGCCTCAGTTCTTAGTCTAAACCAGGACTTTTAACTGACTTTTGTTACAACAGCATGACTTCTGAACACTAAATAATTGAAAATTATTTTTCAGCTTCAAGAAGAAAACAAAAAACATTCTACAGACAAATCAAAACAGAGTCATCCACAGGTCAGTCTAAAAGCACTTGTAGGCATGAGCCTTGCAAAATAAAGTTTATTATTACTCACAGACATGAAGGATGGACAGAAGGAAAGACAAATGGGTGAAGAATCGCTTTAGACTTGGTTTGACCAGGAACTTCACAAATTGCCTAGTTGTGGCACATGCATAAGCACCTACTTGTCCTATTCAGGGTCCTTCCATAATTCTTTTTAGCATTCTTCCTTTATCCTTCTCTGGTTTGAATACAGTAGAGCGTTAGCTCTTAGTCTGTCTTTTTTGGCCCACTGACTTTAATTCAAGTGTTTAACATCTTAACAGAAAATCTTTCAACCCTAAAAGATTCCATGTGTTTCACATTTTAAAATTATAACATGTTTTCCCTGTGGCCTTGATCCAGCATAACCCTAACACGTGCTTAATTCTAATTTAGAACAGAATTGAGTCCGCACTGAACGCGAGTGGATTATCTCCATTTTAGATAACCTTTCCTGAGCTATTGAAAATATACCTCATCAGACTCAACTTTTTATTGTGGAGTAATGTAGAACTCTTTGATACAAATGAATAAAAATTATAAATTCACACCTTTTTCAATCTCTAGGAGACAATGGAAGTAACCCTGAAAACAGAAGCGGAAGCTGGTGCTAGTGGTTTTAGTGTGAAAGGTGGAGGAGATGAAGGAATATTTATTAAAAAAGTACTTAAGGAATCTCCTGCTTCAAAAATATTTAGTCTTAAAGAAGGTACAGTCTGATTTTTTGTTTTGTTTTGATTTTATTCTATATCTTTAAATAATGAGATATATAGCTGTGTGTACACATAGATACCTGCCTGGTCTGTCATCTCTTTAGGTAACAAAAATAGTAGATTGCAAACCAACTAATGTTTATGTGAGCGCTTAAGCTGTCTGTATTAATAAATTCAAAGATCACTTGCTTGAATAATAATGAAATATGATTTTTTAGTATGTGATAAAAAAAATTTTCACTGGAACAGTGAAAAAGACACATAGAAAGTGGTATATACACAACTAAAATAAAAAAAAAAGGCACAACTCATGACATGCACGAAGAACCTTCCTTTGATTCTTTTGCAAAATATAGCATGCCACAGAACTGCAATAAATAATGGTTTAAACAAGAACAAAAGTCCAAAGTCTAAACACTGGAAAATGTAAGAAAAAACTTTGTTACTGTCAGGGTGGTCAGATATTGGAACGGGTTTTTCAGAGAGATAGTGGCGTCACCATCCTTAGAAATCTTCAAAACCTAACTGCACACAGACCTGAGCTACTGCCTGTGGCTGACCCTTCACTGAGCAGGGCAGTTGGACTAGATGATATCCAGAGGTCCTTTCCAGCCTTACCTATTCCATGATTCTATTACGTGAACATAATTTCATATTTTAAATAAAAGGATGTGATAATTATTTTTTTTGGTCATTGTTTCAACAGAATTTGAAAAACTGTAAGAATACACAAAGTAATTAAAATGATCCATGATTCCACTTGCAGGTGATCAGCTTCTAAGTGCTACAATATTTTTTGATAACATCAAATATGAAGATGCACTCAAGATTCTCCAGTATTCCGAGCCGTACAGAGTCCAGTTCAGCCTCAAAAGAAAAATTGCTGTGAAAGAAGAGCTGGAACATTCTACAGCTCAATACAAGAAGGAAAGAATAAGCCAGGTAGCTTTTGATTAGTTTACAAAGTTTGGATAACATAGTGTAGCAACGTGGAAATAGATCAGAAAACACACTTGTGTCTTCTTAAGACTGAGGTGTGTGTTTAAACTTATTAGTATGACTATTCATGACCAAAAAAAAAAAAAATCCCACACAGTATTTACAGCTTTTTAAATCCTGAGTGAGACCACAGATTTTATATAAATACACAATTTTGTGTTAGGGTACAAAAGTATTCTTTAGTGAGTCAGCCTTTTTTTGTTCTTTACTGTCGACTGATAGAACAGACTCAGGTAATCTCTGTAATAATTATATGCAATATTTTCAAAAATGTAAAATATCAGTAAACATTTTTCTCCAAAGGTCATCCATGAGATTTTTTTTCTTAAAAATATATGTTTAATCACTGATATCTTGATAGACATGATCTGTTCATAGGTTTCCATCACCTTAAAAATTATTTTTTCTTCATATACATCTATATAAATAATATATATTATATATATTTGTACATATAGAGAGAGAAATATATATAGAAACCTCAATTTAGTGCAGTGTTTTGCAAAGAATGTAAACCTTCAGAAATCAATATATTACAGCCATTTGTTTTGTGTCATTTCTTCCTGACACTATATACATATATACATATATATATAATTTTCATTATTTTTTTATATAAGAAGTAGATACTTACTATTATTATTATTATTATTATTATTATTATTATTATTATTATTGTTGTTATTATATACTATTAATAAAAAGAACTTTTTTCTACAAGTATGTCTTTTATTTTCTCTTACACCTATATTTAGGTTACTTCTAATCTTCTGACTACTATTTGTTTTTTCAGGAGAAAGAACTCAGTGAGAGCATTCCTGAAGAAACGCTTCATGTTTCAGGAAAAGCCATTTCAGAAGAAGACAGGGAAACATTAATTGCAAGCCAAAGAGTAGGAAGAAGCAAGAGACCTAAAAAAGACAGATTATCATGGCCAAAATTCCAGTCAATCAAAAATAAAAAGATATTGAGGCACAGAAGATCTCATAGTACATCAGATGCATATGAGCCTGCTGTACAGGATATTTCTCCTACAAGCACAGACACAGAGTCTCAATTTCCACAAGAAGTCCATACCAAAGAAAAAAAAGGAAGCCAAAGGAAGCTGAAGTTCCCTAGCATTGGATTCAGAATGCACAGGTCCAAAACAGACCTACAAGAGAAACAAAAAAAAGAAATAAAAACTACACTGATCTCTGAAAGAGAAAAAATACATGAAGAAGATATTAGCCTGGAAAATCCTGAAATCCTGACTGTTGAATATACCACATCTCCTGCTTACAAAATGAAAATAGGGGAGGTACAGGAAACTTTAACAAAAGACTTAAAAGATATGAAAAATGGCATCCCATCTCACGTAAAACAATGCCCTGAAGTTGAAATAAGCATTAAAAAAGAAAAAGATAAGGAATCAACATCAAAATTTAGTTTACCTGAGGTACCAGACATAACAACAGAGATACCAAAGCCCAGTTTAGAAACACCTGATCTGAAAGCAAGTCCAACTGAAAAAACATCACAAGCATCATCAAAATCCCGAAAAAAGAAACAGAAAGGAACACCAGTTAAAAAAGGAGAAGGTGAAATTAACATAGACTTGATGAGTCACACAGCTAAAGGATCTACACAGGTAAAAGGCCTAGAAATAGGAACTGCAAAAGCAGAATTAAACACATCTGACACACTGGAAGCAGGAGAAATTCAAGCAGAAGAAGACACAAAGATACTAACAATTCAGAAAACAAAATTTGGGATTTCAGTGCCCAAGAGAAAAGAGACAGAGACTGAAACCACCAAACTGGGAGGTGATGTTCCACATTCAGAAACAGAAAAAACAGTGGATGCGACTTCAGAGGATGGCAGGAATTTCGATGTGAAAACACACATACCTGATGCGGAACCAGAAGTATCTTCTTGGAAAATACAAATGCCATCATTCAAAATGACCAAAACACCTAAAACTGACATGAAAATAGCAAGACAAGAAAGCACAGGTGAATCAGAAGATACTGTAAAAAAGGAATGGATAGAAGAAGATGGCATGCCCACAAGTGACAAAACCTTAAAGTTAGAAATTGAAATGAAGACAGGTGAGAAAGATATAGAGGGAAAAGAAAGCAAATTCCGACTCCCAAAGTTAAAATTTCCTACATTTACTTGGTCAAATACCAAGGATGAAACAGGGAAAACTGAAGGACAGATAAGTGAAATGGAAGGAAAAATGCCAACACTAAAAGAAGGAGCAGAAGCAGAGATATGTGGGTCAGCAGAAGAAATTAAGGTACCAAGTGTTGAAGTGAAAACTGAGATATCAAAAGGAAAAATAAAAGAAAATGACATCAAAGAAAAGACAAAGGTCCACCTTCCAAGTCCGAAAAAAATAACTATAAAACCTTGCAAGGTAGAAAATGACTTTCAAAAAACTACTGGAGAAATATTGATGTCAACAACTGATATTGAAATAAAAAATGGTGAAGAACAATCAAAAATAGACATGAAGGCTCCCAAGGTGGACATCAGCGTGCCCTCCGTCGACGTCACCCTTCCCAAGGCCAGCGTTGACGTGCAGGCGCCCGAGGCGACCCTCAGCCTGGAAGGGGAAGCAAAAGCCCCAGAGAAGGAGGCCGCCAAGACCAAGGACGGCAAGTTCAAGATGCCCAAGTTCGGCATGCCTTCCTTTGGCTGGTCCAGCAGCAGAGAGGCCAAGGGCAGCGTGGCCGCCGAGGTGGACGTCAGCCTCAAGGAGCCCCAAGTGACGGTGCCCTCGGCAGCCACCGAGGTGGACATCAGCCTCAAGGAGCCCCATGTGACGCTGCCCTCGGGAGCCGCCGAAGTGGAGGTGAGCCTGCCCGGCACCGAGATCCAAGCGCCCGGCGTAGAGGTGACGCTGGAGGCGGCCGCCACGGGAGAGGGCGAGAAGGGTCGATTCAAGATGCCCGACATCAAGATGCCCGACGTCAAGATGCCCAGCGTCAAGCTGCCCAAGGTCAAAGCTCCCCACGCGCAGGTCAGCCTACCGAAGGCCGAGGTCTCGCTGCCCAAAGGCCAGGAGGGCGAAGTCGCCCTGCAGGGCCCCGAGGCCGAAGGCGGCCTGGAGGTGGCAGCCGGCAAAGTTGAGGGCGGCGGCATGAAAATACACATGCCCAAAGTCAAGGTGCCCAGCGTGGTCTTCTCCAAGCCCACCGTCAAGGCTCCCAAAGTGGAGGCAGACGTCAGCCTCCCGCAGGC